ATTAATGACTGAAGCCCATAGGGACCCTTTTGCCTCGGGGGTGTCAAAACAGGTTTATCTGGCCATGGAGTGGAAGAATTGAGACAAACAGCAGTGTCTCAGATGTATCACAAACCTTTAATGCAGGCTATGTATCGTAGCTAAAGATGTTTGCCTGCAGGCGAAGGCTTTTTAAAGGTGCACGTCACTGTTATTATTCAGCTCCATTTGACTCGCATCTGCACGTGTGTTTTGCTGCAGCAGCTGCTTTTGTCTGAATACTTCTAGCACCAGTTTCTAGGTGACTGAAAAGCTTTCCACGAGGTGGTTAGCAGATATTACCAATTTCTTCAAGCAGCAGACTTAGATGCATGATGTGTCCATCTACATGTCAGCAAAAAGCTCTGGCTTTAGTTGTATTAAACTTTATTTAAAGTCTATGTGTTACCCATCATACACAGCTTTAAACATCACTACTCAAAAGTGTAAACCCATACTGAAACCATAACAATATTAATAACAACAAAACTGACTCAATAAAGAGAAAGAAAGTTTAACCTTTTTAGGAATTTTATTGAGAATTTAAAAGAGTAGTTGGAGTAATTAATTACCACAGGTAATTAATTTGGGTGTTAGTAAATTACATGACACATAGGCAAACAACCACTCACACCCACATTTACTCCTAGGGGCAATTTAGAGTCTCCAGTCAACCTAAGCTGCATGTCTTTGGTATGTGGGAGGAAGCCGGAGCGCCCGGAGAAAACCCACGCAGGCACAGGGAGAACATGCAGACTCCACACAGAAAGGCCCTGGGTCGGCCCGGCCTGTGAGGAAACAGTGCTAACCACTGCGCCGCCATGATTAATTTGTTTTCTTTACTAAATTACATGACATCTGTCACTACATGTGTGACGGCCCTGTCATGTGATTTAGTAAAACATCTGGCCAAATTGATTAATTTTTTTTTAAAGTTTTAACAGCAGCCTTTTGACTTGTCCAATGATTCTAATTTAAATATCTGCTGTGAAAGGGGTTTGGTTTATTTCTTCCACTTCTGTGGTTTCCTCAGCCCCAGAAAGTGGCGGAATCTTTTCCAGCGTGACTTCTGTTTTGTCGTCTCTGTGATGATCTTTTTAGAGACTACAGTGTTCTCTGTGAGTTCTTCATCATGGAGGGCACTAGGGAGGGGCTCCTGGTCCTCGCATGGTTCAGGATCAGGCTGTTCACAGCTAGAGAGTTTCTCAGCTTCGAGCTGAGTGGAGAGCTGCAGAGTGAGTGAGGTTTGAAGCTTGACCTCATCTCTCAGCTCCTCCAGCTCTCTCTGATAGAGCAAGGCCTTATGAGCAGCTTCTCTTCTGCATTCTAAGGACCTCTTCTGCCGTCTCTTTACGAAGGCTGTCGTTCTCAGTCCTCAAGGTGTCGATCAGCTGTTGACCTTGCTCCGCCCTGTCTGCGTGAGTGAGCTTCTTGGTCTCTAGCTCACGCTGAAGGGCGTCTTTTTCCGTCTTCAAGGTGTCGATCAGGTGGATATATTGCTCCACCATGTTGGCGTGAGACTTGTTTTCATCCTCACACTCATGCTGAAGGCTTTCGACCTGCTGCCTGAGTGTGAGGGTATCGTTTTCATATCTTACGCTGAGCTCATGGTGTGAAGCTCTGAGCTTCTCCAGAGTCTTGTTCTTCTCCACATTGAGCTCATCCATTAATCTCTTCTGGGTTGTCATGTGTGCCTCTTGCAGCTCCTCATAATCTTTCTGAAGATCTTTTTTTTTTATCCTCTTGATATCATTGCCCAACTGAGTGGCAATGTTTGAGGAACTGAGAGCTTCTGCATTACTGTACTCCCTCAGCTTCTCAAGCTCCTTTGTAGTTTCTTTTTCCTTGATGATAAAGGAGTCAGTCTTGGCTTTCTGGTTAGCCCGCTGTTTCTTTGTCAAGTTCTCTCTGCCTCTGCTCAGCCACCCGATTTCTTCATGAACTGCTTCACAGGTCATGACGAGCTCGATTGTGGGAGATGGCTGTCGTTTGGGTCTCCTTTTTTTGAGGTCTGTTGGTAGAACTTGCCATTTTTAACTGGTAGAATCAGTTTTCTCAAACACTGTAGTATCTCTGTGAACAGATGTCTGTATTAGTTGTTTGACGTGCTTTCACACTGGTGTGTTACTTGTAGAAGGTCTGAAGTTGAAGTGCCTTGTGAGCTGCAGTTGATAATGCCACAGACCTGATGATGCCCAATGGCTGTGATGATGTCATCATAGTTTGTTTTGTTCTGGAATGGTGCATGTTTACATTCAAAATCACCATCTCAGCTAAATGTGCTAAGCTAACAGGCTACCTCAGTAACATTCAAACCCATTTTGAAACCTGCTATTAATCTCAAAGAGGAGATATTCTATAAAGCAGGTTGGGTGAAAACATGACTTTCACTTTCCCTGAACTCAGAGTGAACAAACTCCATTTTCACTCAAACCGGTTTGAATAAGTCGTGTTTGCTATTAAAAAGTAGACAGTTTGTATTTCTCTGTTCTTCTTCTCTGCTGCTTCTTCTGTTCCCTTGATTTGCCATTTCAGAAAATACCTTGTTAAAATTGATCATCATGATCAACACTGTGTATAAACTCTTCATATGGTCAAAACCAAAAGTCTGGGAATGCAAAGTAAAACACTAATTCATCTTTGTATTACAAATAAAATTACTTAAGTGAAATTAAAAATTAAGATCAGACATAAAACACAAAGAAAACATTACACCATCAAGTTGGTACCAAACAAACAAATGGTTTATTTTTACTCACTAAACATCACTCACATTTATGCTATAGAAGTGACTACTTTTGTGGCTTGGAAGCTTATTTTGCTTTGTTAACATCCAGATGATGTACAATTGTTTGTTTTATGAAGGTTAATTCAAGTAGAGTTGACATAAGAAGGAACTGAGACTATACTCAGGCAGGAAAGTAAAACTTAGAGATTTGCATCTTACAAAATGAAACAGTAATATGGTCAAACTTCACAAAGAAATGTGTCTTGGTAACTACTAACAAGTTAGTTATTTAACTGTGTTGTCTTATTCAAACAAAAAAGTAATGTCTAACTGGCTTGGGGCTGCTACTAATAGTTATTTTCATTATCAATTAATTTGCCAATTATTTTCTCTGGAGACGCACTGATCAATCAGCGGTTTTCTACTCTGAAATAACCAATTTGTGTTGATCAGAATTATGCACGACATGAAGTCACACACGCGATGGCACAGACCAAAAGCCTACCACAACAATCTGACAAGCATCATCTTTCCTTTCAAAGTGGTGACCAGCCATTCTAGTTATTCCTCAATGGCTGCTGTCTGTGAATGCTCATGTTTTACCACAGGCTGTATCCTCATCTGAAGGACACAACATGTACTGCAAGTGTGCTCACCTACTCAGTTCAACAGGACTTCATTCAGTGTTAACAGGTTGTCTGTGATGGGTGAGCCCTCCTGATTTACTCCCAGACACAAAACAATCAGTAAATAGATGCTGACTGAATCAACCAAAGCCTTGGATATCCCATTACTGACATACCAGACAAACTGCTGTTGACTACAGGCTAATTCATATATATTATTAACTACTGTTTCATATACCTGTACACAGTTAAAACGTACTATTAAAAATAATTTGTTAATTTATCAGCATTCTGATTCATTAATATCGTCTTATGCTCTAAAGCTTTGTCCCTCACAACCCATAAATGCTCTGCCCCACTTTATCCAACGCTGCCACTGGGTTCAGTGACTGTGATCCCTTTTTCTTACAGTGGCTTAGACTTTATACACCTTTTGATATTTGATGTTCAAAATGTGTTTTGCCTTATCATTCCAAAAAGAGCATTTCATTTGTCAGCATGCTTTAAAAGTGACATCAGAGCAGCTGAACTTTACCGGTTAAAACGTCTGATTGTTGTTCAGCGCACATTAGTAGCAGCACAGTAACAGTATAACACTAACAAACCAGGATTAGCTGCAGGGCTGGCCTCCGTCACCCCCGGCTGCTCGCCTTCTGGTAACCGATAGTGTCAGCTGGTCCACTCTCCACAAGCACTGCACGGTTCGGCCCATTTCATTATAGTTTTAAACAGTGGCTGGTGCAGCTATGCACGTGCACAGTCCGGCATCAACAAACCTGACAACCTCTGCACGGAACCACAAGAAATTTCCACCTTGCCAAATCATCCCCAGCTGTGTTGCATATGTGACGTCAGTGTCAACGCAGCGTCGAGAAGGGCCTGGCTGCAGACACACACACACACACACACACACACACACATACATACTGCCGGCTTGGGTGCTCTGGCCGAGGTCACATAACAACACAGAACTGTGTGTTCTTATTTTCAAATTGTTGCAACACAAAGTGCCGTAGTCATAAAATCGGAACAGAGCTAACTCTGCTCCGAGGTTCCCTCGCCCTGAATGCACTAAATTATAATGTGTAAATTATAAAATGATTAACCATCCACATTTCTGTCAGTGCAGACAATCTACATACAGTCGATTACCCACAACAGTGAACATTGTTTACGTGTATGAACACGTGCACATCGTTAGAAGAGTCTTGTCAGGATTTGGGAAATACCTTCAGAATTTGGGTGAGTGTTATGAAACAACGGTGCCAAGTTAAAACTGTTTCCGAGTTTCACTTTTGCACATTCACAGCAGATTATCTCTGTGACTCAAATATATGAGAATCACAGGATGGGGAGAAGTTCAAAAGCAGCACATGACACATGGAGTCAATTCACACCCTGAATGTTGCCCTTAAATTCAATTGTATCAAAGAGAGTATGGGGCTTGTACACCATAGAGGACACTGCTTCTGAAAACAACAATCGGGTGACAAAGATAGTAGCTGGAGAGTCTAGGGGTCACTGCGTTGTTGTTAATATACTACATGTGTCTAAGGTGTGGTCTTTTTTTATCAGCTTGTACTTTGTATTGTTGCATAATTTTACAGTGTGCAAAGGTAATGCAGTGGCTGACAATCAGGCTGCAGGACCTAAATCCATCCTGCTCACCAAAAGAAAACCAGAGGTTGACCAGAGATCTCTGCAGACATCAGGCTTGGCAGCAGTACATTAGTCCTTTTGGACACGGGTGACTAATTCTGCTTCTTCAGTGATACTGACACTTGTTCCCTTGGAGCAAATCGAAAGCCTTTAGAACCTTTTAGAAGCCACAAGCACCGTGGGGATGAAGTTTGAGAATATCCTGGAGGAGATCAATGGTTTTGGGCCTTTCCAAATCATCATCATCGTCTTGCTCTGCGCCCCTCGAATAGTTCTCCCCTGTCACTTCTTGCTGAACAACTTCATCGCTGCAGTGCCTCGTCACCGCTGTGACATCAGCACCCTGGATGGTGGGGGACTCTTCAGAAATTTAACTCAGGAGCAGAGACTGACAGTTAGTGTTCCTGTGGGAGGAAATGGGGACCCAAAGTCCTGTGAGATGTTTGCAGAACCTTACTTTGAGCTGTTATCCAACAGCTCCAACAGCACTGACCTGCCCACAGTTCAGTGTCAGAGCGGATGGGTTTATGACAACTCCACCTTCACTTCCACCCTGGCAACAGAGGTACAGTCACTGTTTTATCACTAACAACCTTTATGAATTAGTGGTAGGACCTAAGTCAGCAGATATTTGCATCAACAGTACGTTAAATAACATTAGTGATGGAAAAAGATGCACACACACACACACACACAGATTTTAGTTTTACAGATAATAGATGCACCTAAGGGCCAGCAGAAAATGGGTACCTAAATAGATCACCTAATTACATTTTCTTTGTGATCTGCTTTTCAGTGGGACTTTGTCTGCGATAGAAAAAGCCTGACAAACACAACAAGCACAATCTTTTTCCTCGGAGTGATGCTGGGAGGCATAGCATTTGGATACCTCTGTGATAAGTATGGGCATAAAGAGTCAGAATTTTCAGTGAATGGTCTCACTGTGGCGACACGAATGTTCAGATTTCACATAGTTCAAGAGGGAATAGGAAATAAGAAGAAAATATTTAAAATAAGACAAAAAATAAAAAATAAACTGTGCATTCAAATAGGAAATATATGCAATCAAAAACAGGAAGGAGAGAGGGAAAGACTGTATTGTCTTCTCAGTCTAAGTGAATGTTTAAAGAAGGACCAGGACTCCAGTTCCCATTTCAGGCAGTGTAAAAAACTAATTCAATTAAACTTGATGCATTCAAATCACCTGATGCCCATTGTGTTTCTCAGGTATGGGAGGAAAAACACTCTTTTGGCCTCATACATCATAGCGATCACGTTTGGCTTCGCCAGTGCATTTGCAAACTCCTACATCCTGTTTGCAGTGCTGAGGTTTCTCACTGGGTTTGGACTGACGGGGATCAGCAGCACCTCAATAGTTCTCAGTGAGTAGTTCGGATCAGCTGTATGCAGAGACATTTTTTTAACTAACTGCTCCCCAACTTGCCCCCATCACTGTTTAAAAAACCAAGTCTTCTTGCAGAATATTTATTATGTCTTGGCATCTGTTTTTGTCCTGCTCACCTCGCAGGCATCGAGTGGGTGGACACCAGTCACAGGTCGCTTATCGGTGTGTTGGGCAGTATGGCCTGGTCTGTAGGCAACATGCTGCTGGCTGGGTTTGCCTTCCTGGTGACTGACTGGCGACCACTCATCATGACTGTTACAGCCCCACTGGGTGTCGCAGTTCTGACCTGGTGGTAAGTGAAAAGGTCTCTCATCCCCATTTACTGAGATAATGTACAGTTCACAGTGATTGTTTTTCCGGTTACGTGTTTATGTAGCCCTGCAGAGGAAGTTCTTTGGATCCAAACAAACTAGTATTGAATCTAAATCAGAACAAACTTGTTAGAGACAGAGGTTACATGTTCTTACAAAATGACTGCCTGAATGAAAAGACACATTATATGTTACTTAAATGTTTTTAACATATCAAATAAATTATTTAGTTCACAAACATTTGTGCAAAATCAATATAGCATATTTTCTTAATGTGATTTCAATTAGTCCCTTATTGATACATCCACTCATTATTTAATATTTTGAATATAATTGCAGGTGGATTCCTGAATCTGCCCGATGGCTTTTAGCCAATGGCAAAGTGGAACGAGCCCAGTTTTACCTCAACAAATGTGCAAAGTTCAACGACAGACAAAACCCGGCAAACAGCATAAAACTGGAGGTAAATTTTAGCTTGATGTTTAAAGTCAATATGTGCAGAATGTTATGTAATTATCTTTAAAAAAACAGATTCTGCTGTTATACATTTTTGTGCCAGATCAAGGAAACAGACTTCAGGCTGTGCTGGTGTCTTTTTTCCTACTACCACTAGAGGGCAGCAGAAATGTTCAAATCCTAAAACTGGCTTATATTTTTCTGTTAGATTTACTTTCACATTTCTCTCCTCCTGCACAGACACTCTCCAGCATAGAAATCTTAGAAAAGCAGAACAAAAACTACACTTACCTTCACCTAATCAAGACCCCAAAGATGAGAAGGTTAACTCTACTGACTGGGATTGTGTGGTGGGTACCATCTTAAAAAAAATACCTACAAAGATCATTAAACAAAACTGTAGAAATGTAAATGAACTCTCCTGAGTCCAGTGGTAACAAAAATAATGATAAATATGTTAGAATTTTGCTTCAATAGAATACAGTTCATATATTCTATATTCTACTCATATTTCTGTGGTTTTGTGTTCATTGTCCTGCAGGTATGGAATCGCCTTGACATATTATGGAATCAGCCTGAACATCAGTGGATTTGGTCTGAACATTTACCTCACACACTTCATCTATGCAGCCATTGAAGTTCCTGCCAAGCTGATGATTTATTACTTTCTCAACATGCTTGGACGGAGAAAGTGCCAAGCAGGCACGTTGGTACTAACAGGAGTCTGCATCGCCATCAACATCTTCCTTCCCAAAGGTTGGGCTGCACAGCTGTAACTTTATTTAAGCAATTGTAGGCACTTTGTCTGGTACCGCATCTTTTCTCATTGCTCCCTGTCACACCCTCAGCTGAAAGCTGTGAGGACCGACTTGTCTTCTGCACATCACACATGCTCTTCTTGTTCCGTGCAGGTCTGTGGCATGTGCGTGCTGCCGTTGCCATTCTGGGAAAAGGCCTATCAGAGGCTTCGTTCACAACTGTTTTCCTCTACACCACTGAGCTTTACCCCACAGTCATCAGGTCAGTTTCAGCCATACAGCTGCAGTAAGCCTACATTGCTGTGCTTATCATTATGTCCTAGTACTACCTTCTAGTGCTCTCTATGCTTCTGATATTAGCCCTACTGGTTGTTTGGGTGATGTTCATCAAATAATAGTAAAATACTTGTAGCTAAATATTATCATACCACTGATTCAACTGGAAAAATAACTAATAAATTCAAATCTATTTTTCATTTACATGTAATTTCATTACTGAAAGCATTTTGCTGTGGGTTAAATGATGACTAAGGAGGACTAACGGACTAAATGGTTGTTATGTTGCACCTTTGGTTTGAGCAGACAGAACGGTCTGGGCTTCACCAACTTCATGAGTCGTCTGGGAGTGGCAGTAGCTCCTCTCATCCTGCTGCTGGAGGACGTGTGGCCTCTTCTTCCTCAGGTCATCCTCGGCTCTGTGGCCATCACATGCGGCCTGGTGTCTCTGCTGTTGCCAGAAACTCTGAATGTGAGGCTGCCAGAGACAATTGACGACATCGAAAATCCAAGGATAGTGGATTAAAATATGGAAAGCACAATGTGAACAATTTGAAATGACCTTTGGCACCACTTTAGTGCCATCTTGTGGTATAGTTGTAACATGCACTGAGACACACCTGTGGATACTGTGACTGCTCTTTTGCTTGACTTGTAATTGAAAAACAGGCTCATCCTGACTTTTATTCACAGCACATATACATTAGAAATGAGCACATCCTGCTACACAACAGTCACCTTTCATTGGATTAGGTCAGAAAACATACATAAAATACTTTCTGAGGTGACAGTTTTTAAGAAAATGCCCATTACAAAATCTCTAATTCTGAAATATAACATCATGTTGAAAAGAGACCAAAACAAAAGAATTTGTTAATGTTAGATTTCTGTTTACTATGAGTCAAAGATGTGTCTGTTCAGCTGTATTGGAAGGCGTTCCTCAGCTCAGAGCAGACTGGTGTCAGCAGAAATATTCAAATCATTGTGGTGGCGTTTTTTGTTTTATTTCAGAAGAAACAATATGTCCTCTTTCTCTGTGAAGTCTTCAGATGTTCTCCTGGAATCACAGAGTACAACAGAAACAAACAGCGAGATAAGCTCAGCAAAACAAAGATGTGTACTGATTCCTAAACGGTATGCACTGTATATATTTTACAGATTTTGGTACATATCATTAGTTTTATTTTACAGTTCCTTGGCACTTTTGTGGACTAAAAAGAGTGTCATATCATAAAAAGTAAGTATTTACCACAACCTTAAGTTCTGTTAACATTAAGATGTATTTAAAAAAAGCATTTTTTTTATACTCGATGGTACAACGTATCAGCACTGTGCATGACAATCTGAGTGCAATAAAAGAGTCTGTTTACATAAAGTGCATCAACCAGTTTTTCATTTGAAAATAATACAGATCAACCATTTTATATGCAGAGACCCCAAAATATATATTTTAAAACCATACGTAGTAATAACTTGTGCATACAAGACATTCTAACAAAATCTTTCTGGATGTTGGGGTTTCTGTTTTCAGGAATGAAATAAAAGCTTCAGTCTAACGACACTCTACTTAGAACTTCTCTTGGCTTGCACAGCTTACTGCCAAGTTGTGCACTGCCCCAACAAGTTTCTCCAGTTTAGCATACAGTGCCTTGCGAAAGTATTCGGCCCCCTTGAACTTTGCGACCTTTTGCCACATTTCAGGCTTCAAACATAAAGATATAAAACTGTAATTTTTTGTGAAGAATCAACAACAAGTGGGACACAATCATGAAGTGGAACGAAATTTATTGGATATTTCAAACTTTTTTAACAAATAAAAAACTGAAAAATTGGGCATGCAAAATTATTCAGCCCCCTGTGAAAAATGACCTGGGAGAACTGGGAGATCCTTTGTCAGGAGCCTTACATATATAAGCTTTAGCTGTACTTTAGTATTTTGTCAGCATTGTACAGTAGCTGAATAAACCTTTGTGAAGTTAGGCCTACATTGCACTACCTGCAGTAATTTTTACAGTGCCTTGCGAAAGTATTCGGCCCCCTTGAACTTTGCGACCTTTTGCCACATTTCAGGCTTCAAACATAAAGATATAAAACTGTAATTTTTTGTGAAGAATCAACAACAAGTGGGACACAATCATGAAGTGGAACGAAATTTATTGGATATTTCAAACTTTTTTAACAAATAAAAAACTGAATAATTGGGCGTGCAAAATTATTCAGCCCCTTTACTTTCAGTGCAGCAAACTCTCTCCAGAAGTTCAGTGAGGATCTCTGAATGATCCAATGTTGACCTAAATGACTAATGATGATAAATAGAATCCACCTGTGTGTAATCAAGTCTCCGTATAAATGCACCTGCACTGTGATAGTCTCAGAGGTCTGTTTAAAGCGCAGAGAGCATCATGAAGAACAAGGAACACACCAGGCAGGTCCGAGATACTGTTGTGGAGAAGTTTAAAGCCGGATTTGGATACAAAAAGATTTCCCAAGCTTTAAACATCCCAAGGAGCACTGTGCAAGCGATAATATTGAAATGGAAGGAGTATCAGACCACTGCAAATCTACCAAGACCTGGCCGTCCCTCTAAACTTTCAGCTCATACAAGGAGAAGACTGATCAGAGATGCAGCCAAGCGGCCCATGATCACTCTGGATGAACTGCAGAGATCTACAGCTGAGGTGGGAGACTCTGTCCATAGGACAACAATCAGTCGTATACTGCACAAATCTGGCCTTTATGGAAGAGTGGCAAGAAGAAAGCCATTTCTTAAAGATATCCATAAAAAGTGTTGTTTAAAGTTTGCCACAAGCCACCTGGGAGACACACCAAACATGTGGAAGAAGGTGCTCTGGTCAGATGAAACCAAAATCGAACTTTTTGGCAACAATGCAAAATGTTATGTTTGGCGTAAAAGCAACACAGCTCATCACCCTGAACACACCATCCCCACTGTCAAACATGGTGGTGGCAGCATCATGGTTTGGGCCTGCTTTTCTTTAGCAGGGACAGGGAAGATGGTTAAAATTGATGGGAAGATGGATGGAGCCAAATACAGGACCATTCTGGATGGAAACCTGATGGAGTCTGCAAAAGACCTGAGCCTGGGACGGAGATTTGTCTTCCAACAAGACAATGATTCAAAACATAAAGCAAAATCTACAATGGAATGGTTCACAAATAAACATATCCAGGTGTTAGAATGGTCAAGTCAAAGTCCAGACCTGAATCCAATCGAGAATCTGTGGAAAGAACTGAAAACTGCTGTTCACAAATGCTCTCCATCCAACCTCACTGAGCTCGAGCTGTTTTGCAAGGAGGCATGGGCAAAAATTTCAGTCTCTCGATGTGCAAAACTGATAGAGACATACCCCAAGCGATTTACAGCTGTAATCGCAGCAAAAGGTGGCGCTACAACGTATTAACTTAAGGGGGTTGAATAATTTTGCACGCCCAATTTTTCAGTTTTTTATTTGTTAAAAAAGTTTGAAATATCCAATAAATTTCGTTCCACTTCATGATTGTGTCCCACTTGTTGTTGATTCTTCACAAAAAATTACAGTTTTATATCTTTATGTTTGAAGCCTGAAATGTGGCAAAAGGTGGCAAAGTTCAAGGGGGCCGAATACTTTCGCAAGGCACTGTATTTCTATATATTTGAACCAGATCTGGTTGGTAGTTTGTCGTCAGCCTTACACACCTCTATAGGAACATTAGGAGCGTGAGAGATCCATACCAGACCGAGGGCCGTGTCTCATAGTCTGGTCTCCACAGTCTCAGCCACAGTATCCACGGTGGGTCTCGTCTCTTTCTGAGTTTGGTTTTGACAACAGGGTAGCACCAGCAGCAGCTCTTTGAGCCCTTTGGTCATGAATATATAAAGGAAGGGGTCCACCAGAGGGCTGAGGTAGATCAGCAGGTGAGACACCAGCCCCAAGTAGCGCACCTCATCTCTGTAGGACAGAGCCTCCAGGAGGATGCTGAGGATGAAGGGGACATAGAGGATGGTGTAGTTGGCCCAGATTGCAGTGATCCCCCACACTGTCCTCCTCCTCTCTGTGATGGGAAGGCTAGATTGGGAACACACCTGAGCTCTCCAGGAGTCTACAGCAAAGAAGAGGAGGAGGGGGAAAGGGGCGAGCAGAGCCACTGCAAACCAGAGGTTGTACTTAAGGACAGCCAGGGTCAGGACAGCAAATGGGGCGGCCCAGGCCACCAGGGCAACCACAGGAGACTGCCGGATACTGCTGCAGCGGCCAACGCACTGTGGGAAGGCCACAGAGAGATGATGCTCCTGGGCTATGAAGAGCATGAGAGTGATGTTGGAGGTGACACCAAAGTAGAAGATGAAGTCGGTGGCCTTGGAGGAGAGAACGGTCCCATTGTCCTGGTCCACACTGGGACGCCCAAAGAAACTGATGATGTCTGTCACCAGGAGGAACATGATGTGCATGGGGACTTTATTCTCCCCTGGACAGAGAACAGAAAACCAGGATTAATGCTGATCCTTCTCACTGACATCACACAGCTTTTCACGTTTGTCATGGGGAATTTCAAACTGAATGTTGCATTTGATGGTTTAAACCAGTCTACTATTGTCATACTGAAGACTTCCTAAGAGGACAAAAATTGTCCTTAGAACTACAGATACAATAAAAACTACACACTTTTATATTAATTTATAGCTTGTACATTGTATTGCAACTGGTGCATAGATTGTTATTGGGCACAGAGCAGAATGACAACAAACCTTTGGACAGATTCTTGAGGGCGTACATAGCCAGTCCAATGGCAGGCAGCCCAATGCCGAAGGTCAGCCAGTTGATGACCTGGGCCACGGGGACAACGGTGGTTGTGGTGGTGTTGCTGGTGACATTGATGAGAATGGGAACAGTTGTTGTGCTGCTGTCGGCCATAAGAGGCAACGCTGTGACTGTTCAGAGTCCCTCAGCTGATGTTGTGCGTGCAGCAGGATGTTATGAGGGCCAACGTAGTCTAGTTCCAGTCAAAACGTTGACCACACTGAATCCTGAGTAAGACCAAAACACCACATTCTACACACTTGTACATGCCTTAACTGAACCTTTACAACCTTAACAAGGGGCTTAGTGCATTTGAGAACACTTTGGGTGGGCTAGATCTTCTGCCCTCGGTTATCCGTCACCCCTCCATCCAGACTGGACATAGTGTCAGAACATTTGCAACCTGTTTTCTACATGTGCACTTTGAGCTTCAATGCTTCTTACACCGTGAAAGCAAAAGATTTTGGTTGGAGCACAGCAACACTTTAAACCTGTTTTAATCAGTTTTTGATCCTTACACATTATCATCTTAAAGGGCTACTGATTTGGCACAAATTTGTCCATATAATTTTTTGTTGTTTTGTTTATCTACCATATGAATGTAACCCCCCTCATGTTTGCTCTGGTCTGCTCTACACCAGCCCCTGAGAAAGATCCCTGGCTCTTTAGCTGGCCTATGTTTCACCGTCTCCCCTGGCTAGTCCCAGCCTTCATCTGTCTGCTGGTTGGTGCTAGGCAGCGAGTAGTTTGTCAGGGCTTGTTCACTGAAAAAATCTGCAGGCTGCTGAAAACAAAATTGATAATGCACCGTACAGTGTCATAACTAAATTACTGTATGAGCTAAAAGATGCTAAAAACCTCAGGTGAGAACTCTGGAAATACGGTTTGTTGATGCTAACTACTGACTAATGCACTTATAATTTCCCAATTATTCCACCTTTGTTTCTCTCATATTTACATTAAAACAAAAAGTACAAATTTGGCATAATCAGATTCAGCCTCTCACGGTGCCACCTGCTACGTGGCCCCACTTCTTAGCACACAAATCATCTTGAACCATTTTCTTACCTGTGAGAAATACTGAGTCCAATGTGATCCACCAAAAACCCCTCAGGCGTTATTCCAGTTTAGTTTTAGACTTTACTGCTGAAAGATTCTTAAGTAGTTTGGCATAACCACCAAATCCTGTTTACATTTCCATTCAGAGAGCAAGTGACTATTTATTGGTGAACATATTGAAGTGCAAGTTTGTGTGTAAACCTTCTAGGAAGTCATTTATCGCGCCAGTATTGGGCCTTATCTCCACAGAGCTCAGCTGGCTGCTTTGAATGAAGCCTGGATGTGCTGAATGTTCTCTGTGTTTACATGGGTCAGTCTGTTCATGATAACGCAGGAAGCAAAGGTTTGCATGAGACTGGTGTCAATATATGGCAACAGCCTTTATCTTTCTTCCTGTATGTTTGTCCCTTTTTTAAAGGAGCATCCCAATCATTTTTCACCTGAAGCTCAACTTACCAAGAAGTGCCAAAGTCTGCAGTACAATTTAGACAAACTTGAATTATGGGAGATGTTGGATCAAGACTAAAGAATAAGTCCAGACATGTATATACATATAGACAGGGTGCCTTTAACACACACACACACACACACACGCCCTTTAGTGTCAGTTTAGGCCAAACTGACACTAAGGACTTACATTTTGATCTTTTTCATCTGCTTAAAGTGAAACATGATTGTTTTTCAGTTTCTTAGATTTCTTTAAGTCTGTTCAGCACCAGATAGAACAATAAACACAGAACACACTACAGTTTATAACTGATTTTAAAAAATAGCTAATTACAGACATTAATTGGCTGAAGAAATCTGATGATTAACTGTTCAGAGGGTGAAACAGCAACACTGGTGACACATCGTTACATCTGTGCACTATTTAATTCCACACATTTGACTTTTAAATTACAACTGATAAAACAATCAGCCTTTAAATTTACCTCAAGCTCTGACTCAGCAGTTACTCACAGAAAACTCCTGCTGCTGTTCAGCTTTCAGAAACATGAATGGAAAAATGCATGTGTCAGGGACTGGAAGTTCAAGTTCACAGCTCTGGGTTTGGTGAGGATGAAAGACTTAATGTGACACACCGCTTGACTGACAGACCAGACAATTTGCAGACTACAAACCAGCTTGAGAATTTGGGGGCCCAAAATGAAACAACAACAAAAAGCAGTCGTTAAATGTTGTTTTTCCTCATTTATCCAGTCAAAGTCAGCTGAGATGCGAGTTGAACATGAACGTCTTCTCCTCCCAGCCCTTACAGAGGAGGGGGAGGGATTCTCGCACTGGGGATCATGATGGGCCTGATGGTCTGGGTTTGTTTGTGGGGTCTAAAGGAGTTCCTTCATACAAGATCTTGTTTTTGATACCCTCCTGGACCATCCTCTGCTGCACCCGTAGCTTAGCATTTTTCAACCTGCAATAAAACCTGGAGAAACACAGAAGGGTTTCAGCTACAGACAGAAGCAAATGAAGAGAAGTCAGCAGTAAAAACTGTGCTGTTAGGAGAAAAGTTGGCATATATTGGTTGTTTGGTGTTTGTAAAGGATACCACTGTTTCTTTCACAGTAGCTATGCTATAAAGTGCAAGCAAACATTTATTCTGATTACAATGTGAGAGACAGACCAGGAACAAACTCTCACTCTCTCTCTCTCTCTCT